AGTAGAATGGAAACATTTGGGATGAAGAATGGAAGAAAGTGAAACACAAAGGATGAGAAACTAATGTTTCAGTGCTGGAGAAGTCATGATGAGCAGGACAGTCATTTTTACGTGTTTGTTATACCCATAAAACAAAGCCAACTAAAACAGAAGGGGCTAAATATTATACCAAATATTCCAATGTTTCATTGCCTAGAGCTCAGAACTGGAATAACCAAGATCTTTGTACAGATTTCAGAGTTAGCAAAGGCTGAAGAATTTCCCTGGGCATCATAACTTTGGCAACCAATATTGCAGAATGCTAAAACAGGAACTTCAAGAGAACACGATAGGGATGTTTTCTAGACCTTCTTCCTCCCAGAACCTCATCCAATGCCTGCAGATTGCATGCCAGGCAATCACAATCTGCCCAAGAGCCTGACATGTTCCCCTCAGTGGCCTCTGACACCAGAAATGAAAGGTACAGACATATTTACACCATAGGATGCATCAGAGCCAAGGTGCATTAGCATATGGCAGCTAAGGTGAATGTTTGGAAGTAGCCCAGTCTCTGAGTCAGACTGATCCTTTCCGTTCATAAACTTTAAAGTGCCAGGAAAAAAGCAAAAAAGTCCAAATAAAATAAATCCCAGCTAACTCCACTGCAGGCTTATCATCACAGCGTGAGGAGGACAGGATTTTGTTCTTTCTCCTGTGAGAAACTTGAGCAAGAAGCCATGAAATGGCCTCAGCAGAGACAGGGTGAAAAGAGTCTTCTTTGGTGAGGGAGAAGTCTGGAGACTGCTGGGCCTGTCTTTCTCTGAAGGCTGGAGGAGTTTTCTGGAAGGGTTTATTTGTTGCTGTGGTGGAGTGATTTCTGATTTTGCACACCATCATTTGAAAGGAACCTTTCACTTCATTTCTGACCATTCATCTCCCCCAAGCACATCTCCTCTTAGCTTCTGCCTTAAGCTGGATTTATCCTCACCTCCAAGTTCCTGCACATGCCTACATGTGTGGTCTGTTTGTTCCCAGTTCCCTTCTGCTGGGAATTCCCTTCTCCAGCAGTTTCTCTCTCCATTTACTCCTATCTTTCCACTGCTCCCTTGCATGCTGTGTCTTACAGCACTCTCCTCACCCCATCTCAAGCCAACACCTTGAGACATTGTGGAGTCTCTGTTTGGCCAAGTGGTGATTGCTGGAGCTGGCACCAAGGATGGATTGGGTCACAAGGCATCTGGAACTGACCACCAAAACAAACCCCACTCCAAACCTGAGGCCAGATACTGTTTACAAGAGTGTGTAGTGACAGGACAAGGGGGAATGGCCTCAAACTGAAAGAAAGCAGCTCTAGATGGGATATTGGGAAGAAATTCTTCCCTGTCAGGGAGTTGACGCCCTGGCACAGGGTGCCCAGAGCAGCTGTGGCTGCCCCTGCATCCCTGGAAGTGTCCAAGGCCAGGCTGGATGGGGCTTGGAGCAGCCTGGGGCAGTGGAAGGTGTTCCTGCAGACGAAATAAGGCCAGAGATAATGATTTCTGCCTTAATTCATTAGAGGGTTAATAAAACATCTTTATAAAATATTTTTCTTTGGCCACACCCTGCTTTCTGCAACAGATTCTTTAGCACTGACAAAACCTCCCCAATCCCCTGACCATCAGAAAGTGCCAAGAGACCGAGTGAGAACAAGGAAAACACAAGTCTCATTTGCAGCAGAGGCCGCAATTAAAAATCCATATCCTTACTATGAAAAAGATGGGGAAAAAAAAATAGGTATGTATTTCTTGTCTGTAGTGTCCCATTGGGCTTACTCAGCTGGACAATATCTAGAGGAAATCCCTGAGAACGCTGATAAGGCAGCACAGAGGACATGCAAAAAGCAAGGCAGGGAAGTGCAGTTCAACATCTCACGCACAGGGCTGGCTCCAGAGGGGCAGAGGATGGCAGAAACCCACTAAGCTGCAGCAGCAGCACTGGCTGCCCACAGCAGGAGCTGGCAAGTCTTCCAAGGAAACTTCCAGAGCCTTGTTTGAGAAATTCCTCCTTGTCAAGCTGTTGTTTGGGTTCAATTCTTTGCTGCCTGAGGGCCTTTGTGATTGTGAAAAACGCTAATCACTTGGTTTTTAAAATTGTAAAAGTTTAATAGTGATAAAATGGTTATAAAAATAGTAATATAATATATTTTTATATAATATATATAATATATATAATATAATTTGAGTAATAAAATTTAGAGTTAGGACAATTATAAGACAATAAAAAGTAAAGAATTATGGATGTTTGGATGTTCTTGGACACTAAGTTATGAAAAAGTATACTTTCTGAACAAAGGAATAACTTTAAAAGCAATAGCTTGTTGTATATTCATATATTTCATACATGATGTATAAATTCTTTGTAAATTAAGAACTATTTTGGTTTTTGTTAACTTCTTGCTTTAATTTGGGTGGTTTTAAAAAGATGGAGTGAAGGTGTAAGAATGTTTGTTTTTTTTTGATGAGGAGGTAGTAACTTTTTATGGGCTTCTTTTGCTGATATTTCTGTGTGAAGAGTTGATTATCTCCTCTTTTTGTTTGAGCTTGCAACAAATTCTATATTACAGAGTTTCTATTTTAACATTATGTTGTAACTTAAAACTACATTTAACACACTACTTAAGAGAATTAATACAGCACAACTTTCTAACATCACACAAATAATATTCATTGTAACATTTGCGAAAAGCCAATGATAAAATACGCATTTTTCACTACGGCCTAGCGCTGCTGAATCCTCCCATAGTGGTTCTGCTGTAAAAAGCTGATTTCCACGTATTGCTGGTTTGCAGAGCTCCCAGCTGGGATGAAGCCACCCACTCAGAGAGGTCATTGTGGCACAGCATCCTCATCCCTGCTGAGCCTCGGTGCCCGTGCAGCGGCTCTGGGAGACATCCAAAGCAGCACTCAGGCACCAAAGTGCAACTCCTGCAGACTGTGCTGGCGCCTGTGCTGGTGAGAGCAGCCCAGGGAAGCTCTGCCAGCCCTGCTCAGATGCTCTCGGTGCCCGCAGCTCCTGGGGAACGCTGCCCGAGGTGCCACGAGGGCTGGAGCCTTGTCGTGCCCCACTGCTCTGCGTGGGCTCAATTCCCTCAGCTGCTCCTCGCCTCCTTGTCCAGAAATCAGTGGGGCTTTTGTCAGGAAGACCTTCCAGACCCAATTTCCCAGGCATGATGTAGGCACCAGCAGGGAAGTCTCAGGAGTGCTTATAGGTATGTAATATCAGTGAGTCAGGGACCCCTCCTCCAGTATCCTGTGGGAATCCAGAGCTTCCCTCTGGCTGCCCTGGGACCCTGGCAGGGGTCAGGAACCCCCCTGGACAGAGCCCCCAGAGACACTGGCTGTGATCTCTGCCCATGGAAAAGAGTTTTCAATCTTACAGGATCAATTACCAGCTCTGAGTGTTTGATATGAGTAATAATTAAGTGTGGCACGGGTGCAAAAATAAAATTTTAGGATTCTAGATTAGGGGTCCAAAGGGACAAGATGGAGGAAATTGGGTGTGCCTTGTCCTTTTTCTCCTTCTTCATGCCCTCCATGTTTCACTGTGGTGTTGGCATTTTTCTGTTGGTTCAGGCTGGGGACACACTGTCCAACGTAGGTGACAGATATTGGCACGTTATTGTAAATCCAGCACAGGGAGTTTGTGGTATTTAATGTTTGCACCATCCCACTGAGGGCAGAGCCCCACACGCTGCCCTGCAGGACAGAGCTGCGGCAGGGCAGCAGAACATGTTAGAGATAAACAGAATAAACAACCTTGAAACCAGCACAGACGAATTATGGCTTCTTCTTTGGCAATGGGGCTGACAGACAGAGACTTTCTACATCTCAGAATCATCAATACCTGCAGATTCCAAGAGTATCCAAGCACAGTCGCTGTTTCCAAGGTAAAAGCCCTAATTCAGCTCCAGAAGTTCTCCACTTCTGGTCACACAGTGCCTCAGCCTTCAGAGGTTGGGCAGAGCACATTTTCCTCCCTTCCTTTCATGCCCTCAAGTTTCTCACACATTCTGTGTCAAAGGTCCACACCTGTCTCCCAGGGAAGGGCTCTCCAGCACTCAGTGAGTATTTAAAGCAGAGTATTTAAGCTCATCTCCCAGGCATATTTTCACTGACAAGACTGATTCAGATGTGGGTGCCAAATGTGTTATCTAAGTCCAGAAGCAAACACTTTGTGGCTCTATATGAGTTTCACAGTGAGAGGATTTCCCACTGGCTGACATCGGAATCTCACCATCAGTGTACAGCCCACTTGAGTCCTTCAAGTCTTGGTCCTGAACTATTCCTCTCCAGTGTAAAGGGAATTTAAGGCATTTAACTCACTACGCAGCATTGAGAATCAGGTGTAACCCTCAACTCTCTTCTGCTAATTCCAGCTCTCCTTGAGATCTGGCCCTGTTAGTGCTCAAAGTCCTCTATCCAGGATTTCAGCCTAGTTAACTGTTAACTTGCATCTCCCTTTGACCATGACCTTTGGCCAGGTGTTTGCAGTCTCCTGAACCACACTGAACACTCACCACCACAGGGGTGCTGTACAAAGCATGAGGTAAGCCTGAGACAGGGGCTGAAACTCCCTTGTGGCATTCATTTCCACACTGGAAAAAGAAATAAAATACAAAAATACAAAAAATGTTCTGCTCGCTGTGACTTTCCCATAGCAAATTCCTGGCACCCAAAACGTGCCAGGAAACAGGCTTGAAAATAGACAGTTTGTATTAAAAACAGGGTAAATTTTTTAGGGGCTTCAAGAGTGGCAGATTCCCCTGAGCATTTTCCCAGTGTCACAGCACAAGGGAAAGGCCATGTGGCTGCACAGATCCCCTTCTCCACACTTATAAACATCAGCTGTACCCATCCCTGTGACTGAAAAATAATGAGATTATTTCTTCTGCCTATTGAGCAGGAAGAAGAAGAGAGGTGGTTGTTATGTCTTCTTAAGGAAAGAGTGTAGCTATTCAATAAAGAGGTAACTTACACAGTAAATTCAGTAGATATTCATTTATTTTATTGTGTATTTTAAGTCTAATCTTGCAAAAATAGCTGGACAGCATTACAAGTGGTAATGATAAACAAACCATGCTGCAACAAGACTTTAAGACAACATGTAAAGCTTGCTTTTTGTTCCCTGGAATTTAGGGAGTACTGCCAACACACAGCTTATCCAAATCCTAAGAGGAAGGGCTGAACTTTCATTACTGATTATACTTAGCACAGCACTTGTATTTGAATTCTTCACCTCCACGCGCATCCTGTTCCTTCAGCAAGATTTCCTCAAACGCCGTTATTTATATTTTGAAAACGCTTTATACCTTTTTTTTTTTTCCTCTTCATTCTCTGCAGTGTTTTTTCCTTTTCCTGAGCGGCTCAGGGCTCCAGGCCACACCCTGCAGAACACAACACATAATCGGGGGCACCCGCCCCGCGGAGCAATGCGCTCACTGCCATTCCCAGCCCACCCCGCCACACCAGCGCTGTAAATGAAATAAAATCACCCGGGGAAATGGCCTGGGGTGGGCCCTGCCTCGCAACATGCCAAAGAAAAGCCACGGGGCAGCTTTTGGCCTCTGCAGCAGAAGGGGAGTAAGTGAATAAGCACTGCACCTTGCTCAGAGTCATGGCACATTCCCCACTGATGAACGAAGGCCAGTTGACCCGAAGGATGAGTGTGTGTACCCAGCTTTGCCTTTGGCAAACACTGCTGCTCATGACCCAGTCACTGCACCCACACCAAGCTCCCCATGCAAGAGCTGTGGCATGAATCAAAAACAAAAAAGGGAATTGTATATATGAGTGTTACAGGATGTTAGATCAGCCCAAACAGTGCTGGACAGGTAAGGATTGAGGTTGCACTTTTCTGGGAAAGAGAAAACTTCCAGAGTACAAAATTGAGATAAGTAAAATTCAGAGAATCATGGAATATGCTGAGTTGGAAGGGATAATCCAAGCCCAGCTCCTGTCCCTGCATAGACTCCCCAAAAATCCTACCCTGGGCATCCCTGGAGCACTGTCCAAACCCTCCTGGAGCTCTGGCAGCCTCGTGCCCATTTCCTGGGGATCTGGGCAGTGCCAGCACCCTCTGGGGGAAGAACCTTTCCCAAAATCCACCCCAACCCTGCCCTGGCTCAGCCCCAGCCCTTCCCTGGGTCCTGTCCCTGTCTCAGGGAACAGAGATCAGAGCTGCCCCTCAGGATTAATATAAACTCTGTAATAACTTTATTAATGTGAAATCAAAACTTAAAAATAGCATAGCAACTGGAGATGAAGACTATCCCAGAAACCTGGACATGAATCATTTTACCTGCAAAAACAAATTTATTAAATAAATAACGAAGAAGATTGTTCAAATAAAGCACTTTTTGGCCACCATTTTTTTCATAGGAAGGAGGTACCAGTTTTGTTGTTGTGAGACATTAGTCAGGAATTCAGATAGACTCATCCGTGATCTGATTTATCTGTAACAAAGTGATCTGGAATGAGGAAAATGCTCTTTTTTCTTACAAGAAGAATTATGAACATGGATTAGGACTGAAGGGATTTGTTTGCTAATTTAAAACTGAAGCTGATCTTTCTCTGTAGTCTTAGGTAAATCAATTCATCCTCCTGCTTTGGTTTCTTGGTTGCTAAAGAGGTCTGAAAATATTGGTGTAGTGGTGTCAGAGTAGCAGTTTGGCTCGATGAACATTCCCAATGCAATCTGAAGAGAAATTATAGTTTTAAGCCTTCTGTTGTCAAAAGAAGGCTGATTTATTGCTCCCATGAAAAGTTAACTTTTCCATCAGCTGTCAGTATCAGTTTGCTCGTTCCAGTTCTAATGGTGGGACAACCACCTCAGATGAACCCCTTGCTTTTGGTTCCCATTCTGACACACTCCATGAGCTCAGCTGCCCCACCCAGCTGGACTGGGGACAAATTCCTGCTCTTATCTCCAGCTCGATGGAAGCCTTATGCAATTAAACAATATTGTGACGAGGGCTTATCTCAGGGCATTAACTTCTTCTTCCCTTGGCAAGGATGTGAGCGAGCTGGACCCAGCTGCAAAGCTGCTCTGAGCCCATTGCTTTCTCCAGTCTGACCTTTTAGTGGAAAATCAAATAAAATCCGCACAACGCGAGCTCTCGCTGCGCTGTGTTCTTGAGACTCGAGCCTGCAGGAGGGGAACTCTTCAAGGCCACCTCCAGATTTATCTAGGGTACAAGTGAGGAGCTTTTGTAAACCCTTCAGCACTCTCCTGGCTCCTGAGAGAGCTGATGGCTCTGCACAGGACAGTTAATAACAACTAATGATGTGGGGGCCTTGCCAGGAGCACTTGGTTGTGTAACCACCTCGTCAGGCACTGTTTGTTTTGGTTTTTTTCCACAACGATCCTCCCCCCCTGGCTATGCCTGTGCAATGGCTTGACCTCATGAGAGATGAGAATTGTCTCATTAATTTTACTGGGCTGCTCAGTTTTGGAGCAGAGTGTGAAGTGCAGCAGGATTTTGTGGCTGATCTGTTATCAATCTGCTGAATGTGCTCGCACAATGCAGTCAGATAATTTAGGTGTCTGAGATCAAAAAAACCCCAAAAAACCAATTATTTTTATCTATTCCCTGAGGGCTTCTGGAGGATAATGCTGTGTTATCTCATACTTGGGACTCCTCCAGTTCAGTTTCTCATATTCCCAGCATGAATTATTATCTCTTTCTTTGAATGAAAATGGTATCGATTAACAGCTCTGACTCTTCAGTAGTTTTGCCCTGCTTGTTTCAATCTGAATTTTTTTGTTTTAAGCAGGCATGGGCCTAGTTCCTATGTGATGGGGAAAAAAATGGAAAGATGTGAATCTCTTAGTAAAGAAATTATGACAGCAGGAGGAGGAAGAAAGGTAAAGAATCAATTAGAAATGCAGTATATTGCATACTCAGATTGCTGTCATTTCACTCTTTCTCTTGCCCTGCTTTTAGACTTAAAGGCAAGAATAGTTGTATTTTGTTCCTGCACTGCATGTGAGCGACAGCGATTCTGAACACAGCAGCAGTCACACAGCCTGCAGCAAAGCATCCCTGAGGGACACTGCTAGCTGGTGACAGAATTATGGGAAGGAGCAGGGATGGTGCATGGAGCAGGACAGGATTAGCCTCGTGCACTGCACTGAACCTGCCAGGGATGCCGCCAGAAAAAGGCATGCAGGCAAAACAGAAAGATTGGAGAAATCCCTCATCTATCAAAGGGGGAGCTTTTTCTAACTTAAAACCCTTGTCTCCAGTAAAATTGCATTAAAAAAAAAGATTTCCAAGAGCAGGTGAAAGAGCTCTGCTGGCCCTTAAAAGACCTTATCATAGAGTCATGGAATGGTTTGGATTGGAAGGGTGCTTAAAGCTCAAGTGCCACCAGTTGCCACAGGCAGGGACACCTTCCACTGTCCCAGGCTGCTCCAGTCCCAGTGTCCAGCCTGGCCTTGGGCACTGCCAGGGATCCAGGGGCAGCCACAGCTGCTCTGGGCACCTGTGCCAGGGTCTCCCCATTCTCACAGGGGACAATTCCTTCCTAATATCTACGCTAAACTGAAATGGTGCCCAGGGATGGAGGGGTGGGTGCTCTTCCTTCCTTTGAGGGCACTTGGAGGTGTGAGACCTTCTCCTGCCTGCAGACACAGCCCGTGGCACAGCCCCTGGCACACGCTGCTATCGGGGCGATGCTGAGAGTGCAAACAATGCTGGACAAAGCCTGAACCACCTCCACACTCCGGTCTGGAGCCCCAGGAAGGGCTGAGGGAGCTGGGAAGGGGCTCAGCCTGGAGAAAAGGAGGCTCAGGGGGGCCCTTCTGGCTCTGCACAGCTCCTGACAGGAGGGGACAGCCAGGGGGACATCCAGGATGAGAGGGAACAGCCTCAGGCTGTGCCAGGGCAGGCTCAGGGTGGGCATCAGCAGGAATTTCCCCATGGAAAAGGTGCTCAGGCACTGGAACTGCCCAGGGAGGTTTGGATCCCCATCCCTGGAGTGTCCCAGGAAGGGCTGGAGGTGCCACTCGGTGCTCTGGGCTGGGGATAGGGTGGGGATGGGGCACGGGCTGATCCCGGAGCTCTTTTCCAACAGAAATAATTCCGTGATACCGTTCTGCCAGCGCCCTGAGCGCCACGGGGCTGAGCGGGTCACGGCGAGCGGACCCTGCGAACCGCGGGAGCACCGCGGGCCCGCATCCCGCATCCCTCACCCCACATCCCTCACCCCGCATCCCTCATCCCTCACCCCTCATCCCGCATTCCTCATCCCTCACCCCGTATCCCTCACCCCACATCCCTCACCCCGCATCCCGCATTCCTCACCTCGAATTCTTCACCCCGCATCCCGCATCCCTCACCCCGCATTCCTCACCCCTCATCCCGCATCCCTCACCCCGCACCCCTCACCCCGCATCCCTCACCCCGCATTCCTCACCCCGCACCCCCGATCCCGATCCCGATCCCGATCCCGATCCCGATCCCGATCCATAACCCGGCGGCGGAAGCCCCGGCCGGCCCGGCCGCCCAATGGGCTGTGCGTTCCCGGTGCCGCGGCCGGGCCCGTCACTTCCTGGCCCTGCAGCCGCCGGCAGCGAGGCCACACCGGGGCCGGGGGCCCGCAGCCCGCCCGCCGCCACCTCCGCCAGCACCATGCCCTTTGACTTCAGGAGGTGAGTGTCGCCGAGAGTCGCGACAGAGCCCCGCGGGGACCGCCCGCCGCCGCCGCTGCCCGCCCGAGGCTGCGCGTGGGATGGGCGGATGGAGGGATGGATGGATGGATGGATGGACGGACGGACCGTGCGCAGGGAAGGGAGCGAGGAGGCTGTGCCCAGCTCCATAATGCGGTTCCACCAAGCCAAAGGGGGTGTGTGCAATTTGGGTTGCCTGCGCAGGACGGAGGGAGCAGCACGAGCTGCAGGGTGATGGATGCGGGTGTTGGGGTGGAGGTGCTGGGCTGCTGCTCCTCCCGCAGGTCTCTGGGGGTCTCAGTTTTGTGACAGGGGTCACTTTTTGGGGTGCAGCTCCTGCAGCACCTTTAGAAGGTCATGGTGTGGCTCCCATGGCAGCCTTAGGGCATCATTCCTTACAGTGGGGTTCCCACAGCAGCTTTAGAGTCATTTCTTATGGTGGGGTTCCCACAGCAGCTTTACACAATCATTTCTTCTGGTGGGGTTCCCACAGTAGCTTTAGAGGGTCATTTCTTCTGGTGGGGTTCCCACAGCAGCTTTAGAGGGTCATTTCTTGTGCTGGGGTTCCCACAGCAGCTTTAGAGGGTCATTTCGTATGGTGGGGTTCCCACAATAGCTTTACACAATCATTTCTTATGCTGGGGTTCCCACAGCAGCTTTAGGAGATCACAGTGGGGCTCCCACACTGGCTTTAGGGGTCACTGCTTAGGGTGGAGCCCCCAGAGCATCTTTAAGGGTCACTCTTTGCAGCGGGGCTCCCATGCGAGGCTCCGTGTGCCAAAGCTGTGTCACCGTGCCAAATCTGTGCCACGTGTCCCATGGCTGGGGACCAACATCAACGCCTCCACCTCTGGTTTTGCCCTTCTGAGCAGGTGCACGTTGTAGGATTAGCCTTTCTGCGTGGCTCCTTCATCCTCTGGGCCATTGGAGGCAGTGTCAGGTACCAAAGCAGAAGTGAAAAAGCCCCTCTGACTTCACTGGAGCCGAAATAGCAACTGTGGGTTCATTTTCTTTTTTGAGCTGTTCTTGAACCAACAATTTGCATCTTTTCAGGTTCAGAGATGCCAAGGGGAAGATGCAAAGATGAGTTTTCTAATACAGATTTTACTACAACAGTAATAGTAGAATAAAAAATATATACATTCATTTTTGGGAATATGCAGTTAACTACAGTCCTTTCCATGTAGGATCATTTTGACCCCTACATGTGCACCCCTTTGAGATGGGAAATGGTGATAGTGCAGTGTTTTATTATATTTTTACTGTAATTCTAAACCAGGCCTCTCATTTATACAGGCTAACAGGATCTTGTGTGATCCATGGGGCATTGTTGAACATGGAGGCAGTTGCTTCTGAATGAAAACTTGCTGAAGCTGGAAACAGCATCTGCTGGATCATGTGGGATCCGGGGCCCAGAGCCTCGTTTCTGCTTTTGTGTAAAATTTGATAGAAAAACTCTTCTTTGGAGACATTCTGCCAGCTGCGAATCCTATTGCCATCCATTTTCAGACTTGTAAAATACATGAACAATAAGAGATCCTGGGCTGTGGCTGTCACTTTGTAATAGTAGATAAAGAAAATGTTATTTCTGATGTCTTTGAAAATGTAATTTCTGTTGGGTCTCAGAATGTGTGCGTGGAAACACTGGCTCACCAAGAGCATAATCATCTTAAGAGACAGCACTAGTGCTTCACTTTGGAATGGAAAAAAGACGTTCAGTAAAAGCTGAATTGCAGGGTTTGTGTTAATGAGTTACAAAAACAGAGACATCAGTTCAGATCTGCATTTTAAAGATTCACAATTGCAAATAACTTCTTTGTCATTCAGAGTGGAGGATTAGAAATAGACACTTCAAAGCTCTTTCTCAAATAACATAAGCTCACTGAACTTCAGCTTTTCTGCAAGGATGAATTTTTCAAAAGCTGCCATTGATAACAGGAATTTCCTATCTAAAGTACAGAGGAGCTATTGTCACGTGCAGCAAACCACTTTTCCTGTTTTAGAAGCATGAACAGAGTTCAGGACCAAAAGGTTTGAAAAGGTTAGAGCCCTTTTTTAGCTGTTGTGGGTTTTGTTCATAGTGCAGGCAGTGGAACAAAATCTGCTGAGGCTGGAAAATGTTACTGTTGTAGGTAAAATACGATGCACACGTTAAAAACCCCGCACAGGTACTTCCTGACAACTCCAGAACGTGCAATACAAGGCTCTTGCAGAAATAAGGTCACCACCCTGAGTAAGTTTTGAATGAAGAAATGACATTTTCACATGTAAATTTCAAGGTTTTTGTCTCAGAGATTTCCGCAGGATGTTCCCTTTCGCAGGTACATTTTGGGACCCTGCCTTTTACATGCCTGTGTGTGACTAGAGGTTTGGATTGTTAAGAAATTTTTAGAAATGCCCCTGCATATCTCCTAGAGTCCAGAATTCTATGTGGAAAGGTGTTGTGTTCTTCTGGAGGCCACACATTTCACGTTGCATCTGAAGGAATTCTGGCCTTAGCTGCTCTGCCAAGGACATTTGGGAAGGCAAGGTTTTGTTGTTTTTGTATCCCCCCCTTTCCTACAGCTTTATTTTTGGTATTTTAGGGTGGCAGGATGTTGATAGCTGACACCAGGTGTAGAAAGGGCATTGTAGATCAGCTGCAAATTCAGGGTTTGAGCTCTGTTTCCACACAAAGCAGGAGGAATTGGTTGCCCAAACATCATCTGAAGTTGGTAAAGACATAAATGACAAGTAATTAAAGCAGCCCAGGACCAAAAATGTCCCTGTTCTTCACCAGCTAAAATTCAAATAAATTTACTTCCATGGGACTAATTGTCTTTGCTGTGTCTTCAACTTAGCTAGATTGAAGAACCGAAAATGCTTAAAAATCTTTCTTGGAAGTTGTCTCCATCAGTCAGTCTGATATGGAAGTAGCTTGGTTTGTTACATGTACTTTTTTGTACATTTTTTTTTTTTTCTGTAGGACTCCTGTTTTCTTGTTTTATCAGTGGTTCCCTTTCCTAGTACAAACTTCATTTGAGTCATAAATAAACCAATATTTTCACAGTAATCTCACATGAATAATAATGATTCTGTGTCAAGTATCTTTAGGGTGTTAATAGTACTCAGTATTTACCTAATGCTTTTCATTTTTCAAAGCTTTTAATTCAGACTAATCCCCCCAGTCCTGCTGTGATGTTGGTACAGAACCAAATTTTCAGCTTCCAGATTGGAGCCTTCAGTGCAGGTCTGTTCAGTGCATGTCACAAGAACCCAGCCCTCCTACAGAACTACTAAATCAGTTTGTATTTCCAGAAGGCCTGGTTCTTTCTTATTTTTTAACACCCATTTGGCTGAAAGAGCGAGACAGATTTTTCCCTTCTTGCCCATGTCCTTGTTTTTAGAACTTGTGTCAGCAAAGCAGCTTTGTATGTGTTTGATGGAGAATTTTGAGTTCTCTCATTGGAGCTGAAAGGTTATTTCCCCTTGGATCTTTTAAGATCTGGTGTCACCTGCACTCTTGCAGCCTCTGAGGATGGTTCAAATCATAATTAGATTAAACTCTAAGCCTGGGTCATCTTGAGTGGTGATTGTGAGGCAGCCAGAAGGGATCCCACATGTTGTGTGATCCTATTAGCAGGAGGCTGAGCTGGTGCTGGGACTTCAGACTGCTCAGGTGTTGAGAACGACACAAATAAAAATGAGAATTGCAGCTATAAAAATGAGAACTGCAGCTGTAAGAACGAAGTGGCTCCCTGCAGTGGAGGAGGACACGGTGGGGAGAAGCATTGCTGTGAGTTCTCTTGACTCTGGTGGCTTTTCTTTGCACCTGCCTATTTGCATGGAAGAGTTACTGATGGGTTTGTAAGATTCTGAACTTCTGAACCATCTTGGTCACTTTAGTTGGTTACACTGACAAAAACTAAAATAGACCACTCTGAAACCAAGTTTTTGTTCTAATCCTGGGTAATTCACAGTTGTGCCCTGTCCAGGTGTTTCACACAGAGTGGCAAATGTCTGTGAATCCTTATTTTTATGTTTAACAAAGAAATTCAGGATTTATTTCCCACAGTTAATCATTGTGATGTTTTCATTATGTTTTTTATTTTTTTTTTTTACTGTTCCTTGTTTGGTTTTGGGGTTTGGTTGGTTTTTTTTCA